GCTGTATCTTTCTTTTATAAATATGATAAAACTAAAGACTTTTTGGAGATATGAAGGATACAGTACTACTCTATAGGTACTCAAGATTAACATGAGATTGGGTGAAACTGTGTGTTATGCCCCCTTTAAATATATTTATATATAATATAAATTATATGACTATAAATATAGACATGTAAATACAAGTAAACATTTTCTAAATATATACTGTATGAGTGTGCATTCATATATACATATGAATAATAAATAATAATAATATAATAATAAATAAACACATATATATTTTGTGTAAACAAAAACTTTTATTTTGTATGCGATTAATCGTTTGACAGCCCTAATATATTCTTTTTTCAGTTTAACAGCGCCCTCTATCTAAAACAAGAAAAATTGCACTTTTAATTCTGCTGTTACTCAATACATTGACCTCAGTTTAAAGGCAAATGATGCTTGTGCTCATCCAATAAAAAAAAAATATTTTTAAGGCTGAGAAAGCACTTTTTATGGTTATTCTGAGAAGGAAGTGCCGTGTATTGAAAGGAAGGAACCATAAAGCTGGATATGTAACAGGCAGCAACTGCACACTCGACTCATTGTCAACTTTATTGTGAACAACAAACAGCAAAAGAAACAACAAACAAAAAACAAGAAAAGGATGACAAACATATATCATATGCATATCATACAAAAAAAAGATACATAGAAGGACGAGCAGAAAAACACAATGGCAGAATCGAGTACCTCAGCAGCACAACGCAACAGTCTCTCAAGACATGCAAATAATTAAGGTACGAAGAGAAATTCACACATGCACATTTGCAGTGTGATTTGGTATTCATATAATCAAGAACAGAGTATTTAAATGAAACAAAATACTATACTACAACCCCTGCTGGCAGCACTTAGTGTGGCATATTGCACGTGATTGAAGCAACAACAAAAAAATCGTAAAACCTATGCTATAGGTAAAGAGGCATCAGCTAAGAACATAAACGTAAATAAAACATCTTCAACAGGCCATCTGCGTTACATCTATACAGACCGAACTGATGCCAAACAACCCTAAATCATGCCTGGGACATGCAAATATTGGATCAGTTATGCAACAAATTAGCTTTTGTGGCAGGAAATGGTTTCAAGTTGTAAAGAAGCTGGCTTTGACCATTTCCATGAGTAGTAACCCTGGTGACTGCAGTGATAGCCATCTCGGTACAGTATACAACTGCCATAAAAACAGATTTAAAACACATCCTAACTAGCTGTGGCTTCCAGTGTCTTTGTGGCTGAGAAAACAAACCCAGTATTAGCAGTGTGTAAGAAATAGTGCGTCTGACCTGAGGCCGTTCCAATGCGCTGCTCAATGCAGTATTATATGACATAAAACAACAAAAAAACAACCAAACAAACAGAAAACACTCATGTGTCATTCCCTGAATCGACAGTGACCTCTGCCACGTCACCTACATCCACTTCCTCGCCTTCATTGTTTGCTTTTGAATTGTTTAGAACTGTTTGAAAAGCATTTGACCCGGTTCACCACCCATATACTTTCCCTGATTACTCTGTAGTCCCTGATATACGATGCCACAGTTCTGTTGTGGTGTCAGACAATACACTTATAAAACATATATGGACCTTTTATATGAAATATATCATCTTGCACATAACATCTTAAGCCACATAAAACACATTGCACGCATCATGATCCTCATGATTCCATTCACTTAAAAAAGCATTTTGTGTATATATATATATATATACATATATATATATATATATATATATATATAAGTCATTTTTTGATCTATGATAGGGCTTGGATAAAACGAAAAGCACAAATCAACAACAGCAAGAATTATACAGTAATTTAATACATACGATCAAAAGTAGTATCACTGAAAGCTTCGTTTTACATGTGCACTTGATTCCTCAGGCACTGTAGTACACTCTGTAGTACAGAGTCTTATTCCTCCACAGCGAGTATGAGTTGTCGAACTTCAGCTGGTATGTACCTTCACCTGGAAACTCGTGGCTCCCGCTCTGAACCGCCAGATGACTGTCCTGACGGTACACAGGCAGGATTTCTCCCAAGTTCGAGTTGGCAACTGATTTAGAGCCCTTCTCAACATCTCCAGGAACCACAGGGCCTGTTTGACAAAACAATTGCCCATATATCATTGAAAGTATTCCTTACATGCATCTGCTTATTTTAAGCTTTGTACAAAAAAAAGTTTCACAACATTTAACATTAAATAATGTTTTTCTAAAAAAGAAACTGTAAACCTAAAATAACTGGTTACAATTTAATACAAAAACTTGACTCCAAACTTAAAAAATAGTGTATAAATTTAGAATCATACACTACCAGATTTTAAACTTATTCCGATCACAACAAACTCATGCAGAAACGTGTGCGTTGTTGCTAGAAGACACATTACAAATGAAAACAATGTGTTCTAAAATCGGCTGAAAATATCAAACATGTTTGATATCCTCCGACTGGATGGAATCAAAGTCTGAAGCTAGGGGTGTGCGATATATGTGACCCTGGAGCACAAAACCAGTCTTAAGTCGCTTTTTTGCACCCTCAGATTCCAGATTTTCAAATAGTTGTATCTCAGCCAAATATTGTCCAATCCTAACAAACCATACATCAATGGAAAGCTTATTTATATATGTATAAATCTCAATTTCAAAAAATTGACCCTTATGACTGGTTTTGTGGTCCAGGGTCACATATATCATCTGCGATAATATCGTAATTGTTGTTTTAACGATGTGCGATTTTACATTATCGAGTATTTTACAAAAAACCATTCAAAACACCTACAGAGCGCACGCATACATTACGTGAAGTCTAGACGAGTGTGTTATTTCACTGCATGATTCAGCCTATAAAAATACATTTAGAATGATCACAAATTCAAGACATGGGGGCAGAAAAAGTATATATTTATACCACTTCATATAGTTAATCAATTTCACATGAAGAGTGCCGTTTTTTTCTCCAAAATGATTGCAAATGTGATTGATTTTTTATAACAGTTCAATAAACAAGAAGTTAATTAAGAGACTTACGTTTTAGACACCATATTGCCAGTTTTTGCGCTATTTCGACAACAAAAATAATTCCAAACACAGCCACAATGCTGTTTTGTGTCTCCGAGCAACATGACTGTTTCGTTTCTGAATGAATCAACCGTGACTTGCTGCCACCTACTGGCGGTTTTAGTTTAATATTTATTTAAATAATTTCAAATATCAATTTTCAACGTTTTATGTTTAATATATCAAAACATTATTTATGCATTTGTAACTGCAGGTTAAAGCGCTCATGTCCTGCATTAAACGGTGTGTAAAAACATCTGAATTCCACTTCAGATGCAGCTGTTTTTTTCTCTGCATTGCAAAGATTAATTTTGTTGATACTGATTTAATTTTCTTGGTAATAGCTCAAATGTCTTATTATTCTAATTCACTGATTAAATGTAAGAATTTGATTCAAAAGATAATGCACTTTTAGAAAAAAAATGGCTTTATAAAGGTAAAAATGTCCATAAAAGGTAAAAATCTATTTAAACTTATTGGAAAAGATTAATTTCGATCGGTGTGAACGGACCACCACACAAAATATGAAGAATATCAAAAACTTTGAAGAGTCAGCTGTCCACGGTAGTCCTTAAGATACCAGCACAATAACACTCTTAGCAAAATATCGTCTAATTATTGTTATCGATAAAATCCCAGAAAATAGAGATATTATTTTTTATCAATATCGCACACCCCTATCTGAAGCTAAAAACAAATCAGAGCCTCTGACCATCATAGACTACACGATTTTCTATGAAATCAG